CCGCTTTGTGACTCTGGTCTGTGAAAGGCGGTATATAAATAAAGATTACTTACTTACTTACTTACAGTAATGCGCTGCAGTGCTGTGTCTGTACTTTATGCTCATAAACTACAGACAGTAATGTGCTGCAGTGCGTGTGTCTGTACTTTATGCTCATAAACTACAGACAGTAATGCGCTGCAGTGCGTGTGTCTGTACTTTATGCTCATAAACTACAGACAGTAATGCGCTGCAGTGCGTGTGTCTGTACTTTATGCTCATAAACTACAGACAGTAATGTGCTGCAGTGCTGTGTCTGTACTTTATGCTCATAAACTACAGACAGTAATGTGCTGCAGTGCTGTGTCTGTACTTTATGCTCATAAACTACAGACAGTAATGTGCTGCAGTGCGTGTGTCTGTACTTTATGCTCATAAACTACAGACAGTAATGCGCTGCAGTGCTGTGTCTGTACTTTATGTCAAATGTAAACGGTGTAAACTTTGTCGCTAACTCACCCTGTGTTTTCATCACGACTCGGGCACATGTGAAAAGCACCAGCTCACAGCGCCGCACCGCAACACAGAGTCAGGGTGCGTTCACAGACGGTGGAAACCGTAGGAATTTTTAGTTTTCGGCGGAAACAGTGCGGAGAATACAGGAGGGAGGAACTTTCTCTCGTTCATGACACATTAAATGAACTAATTCACGTTCAAGTTCTTTTTAAAAATGTGTTGCGTTCAGTTCAACGTTCACAAAAAAATGAGCGTGTTCAATGAACGCGTTCTTTTGAACTCGTTCACGCACAACACTGCCTTTGGCCTGGGCCTTTTTCATTGGACCAGGCCACCAGGCAGGGTAGGAGTTTGCAAAGACCGCGAGGATGAAATTACATTAAAAGAAAAAAAATAAAAGACCGTGATGATAGGGCAGGCCCAGGCCACTTTGACACGCAGGCCACCGGGAGATCTCCCGATGCTCCCGATGGCCAGTCCGGGCCAGCCCATATATTTATATATATATATATATATATTGTTGTGTTGTGAGCATCTTGTGTTAGTGTGTGAAAATGTGTTGCGTTTGCGTCTTGTATTGGCGTGTCAGGACCTGGGTGTGTCTCTCTCTCCGCCCATGCGGAGCACAGCTGTGTACAAGAGGATGCAGTTTATGGTGTGGGACAGCTTTTGGCTGGGGCCCCTATCTGGACTGCCAGGGGGCCCTGTGGTTCTGACCCTGTGACCGGCCCTGGAGAGTGTCAGAGGCTAGGCCCCTCGCTAACGGCTGTTAGCTTTACATTAGACTTGACTATCACTGTTTCCTTTGAGATCACTGCTCATAAATCTGAGCGCTCTGTGAGATGCAGCGATCAGAGACGGCTCTTTAATCGCACTTCTGTTGTAAACACTCATTATAATCTCCTCATAAGAGAGCTGCTTTTGCAACATGCGCTGGGACAAAACTCATTCTACTCAAACACAATAGACATATGATTTATTTCTTCAAACATGTCAGTTTTGTGCGGAAAATAAACCGACTGTGGTATGAAGATTTTTTATGTCATTCTTTCTCTCTCTGTCTTTCACTCACTCACTCAAGATTTGACGCACATGAATGACTTCTAATGTATAAGATGCAACTTTTATATTTTGTGAAATTCCACTGAATTAAAAAGAATCATTGTAGCATAGCCACAAATGTAAAAATGGTGTATTTATTTGTATTTTGGCCCCGTGTGATAGTTATGTTTTTATGAATGAACTGGGGGGCGTGTCCCAGGGGGGAAGCGCTCATCAGACACCTGCCATCAGGTGCTCGGGGGAAAGAGACGGGGAAGTTATGGTTTTGGACACGGCTCGAGGAGACCACGAGAGACTTGAGTCGGTGATCTGTGTGCGGAATACTGAAACAGACTGTACGGACCTCGGGACGGACCCTGCCGGAGAGCCCGGTTGCCGCTCAAGCACGAACTTTGTAAGTTTTGCTTATACGCTGGAGAGGGAGAGGGTGAACGCTCTCACCCAATGTGCTCTGCCCACACTCTGAACTTTTGGATTACTTTCCCGTTTAGTTTGGATTACTTTGATTGTTTCATCACGTCTTGGATTTGCCTTTTGAACCACACTGACTATCACCCTGGTTGTTTTTCTTTGGTCAGCGTGAGATCAATCACAGCGTGTATAAAGCGTCACAATTACCTCGATTTTATTTTGTAGTGCACGCTCCGAGGGGCTGAGCGTTACATATGGTAGCCAGTACGAGGATTGTCATTTTTGTCTGTGATTTGTACATTTGTAAATCCTTGCTTTTTTATACCACTTCTATGACATCTGCAACAATAACTTAGGTCTTTTGGAGTGCAGGGGCCACTCCTGAAGACCTTCTATGACTCTGTGGTGGCATCAGCCTCTTGTACGGTGTGGTCTGCTGGAGCAGCAGCATCACAGAGAGGGACAGGAAGAAGCTGGAACATCAGGAAGTCCAGCTCAGTCCTGGGCTGTTCCCTGGACACAGTGCAGCAGGTGGGGGACAGGAGGGTCCTGAGCAAACTAACATCTATGCTGGACCATGACTGTCGCCCCCTGCAGGACACTCTCTCTGCTCTGGAGAGCAGCTTCAGTGACAGACTAATTCACCCTCGCTGTGTGAAGGAGAGGTTCCGTAGGTCTTTCCTTCCTGCTGCTGTCAGACTGTACAATAAGAACTGCTGAGCCTGTAAATTTCATTCATCTGTAATTAAGTAAATTCTTAAATCATGTGCAATGTGCAATACTGCAACTTCAGAATGTCACAGAACAATGTCTCTTTACCTCATGTCACTTCACTTATATACTTTTTATCCTGCACTATTTAACTGTACAGTATATAACTGCACTACTACATATATATATATTTTGACTGGTATTGAAGCATTTTCAGCATCTACAGCTAGTTATGTTAGCTAAGAAACATAGCTACTACTTATTTGTATATAGTGTATATATTGTGTGTGCTCCCTGTGTGCTCTTACTACTGTCCTGTCTGTGCGATGCAACATCGAAATTTCCCCACTGTGGGACGAATAAAGGAATTCTTATCTTATCTTATAACATGGGTGATCAGGAGAGCGCAGATCAGGACAACCCAGACTTCACCGCAGGGCCGTTCGTAGCGCGCAGAAATCCTTCAGGTGAGATCGAGTCGCTGTTAGACTCACTGTATCTTCACGATGATGTCAGTCTGACTGTAGATGACAGAATAGAACGTGTTCACTCACAGGAGAGAGTTAATGAGGAAAATGCTGACCATGCTAGTCAGAATGGTGAGGAGGCTTTAGGAGAACTTGAGAGAGGCCTGTTGGAGCCTCTTACTCCTGTAGTGGTGCAGAGGGAGAATAGAGTGGACATGCAGAACAGAACATAGGGCTGGGCAATATGGCTTAAAACTATATCATGAAGTTATTCATATTGGTCGATAACGAAAATTATTGATTGTTTTTTTTGTTTTGTTTTTTTGTCAAAACTCACTTTTAAAGACAGTGTTTCAAGTGAAGAAAAAAAAACAAACAAACTTACCAGTCATTTGACATCTCAAAAACTTGGAAATGAAAACATTGGTTGGACAACCAAGCGCTAGCCATGGTGAACACAGGTGCGCAACTAGCTACAAAAATGCAAAATGTGCATTCAAATGTGGATATAAATCATGATATGCCCCTACACTAGCACACATTAAACAAAGCTATCCATTGACTATTTACTTTTTACACTATGTTCAATAAACCAGAAATGTATAATCAGTCTTTATACGTTGTTGGAAATATTTTTTTGCGATGTACTTACTTGTTAAAAATGTTCCTCCACTGCTCCTCTGCAGCAGAACCATAGACTGTAAATATTAAAGAGCAGAACAGGCGGACGCGTGAATTCAGGCGCGAAACGGAAATGAGTTTAACTCTTCCTCTTTTGATTTCCGGCAGACTGGGCGCCTCTCAGCACATTGCTGCCTTTCGTGGCCAGAGAACACACTGCAGTTAACTTTTACAGGCTCCTTGCCTATATATACATGTACAGCATACACGAAGTCCAAGACCATGTTCACCGCTAAAGTAACTGAAAACAAAATAACCATACACCCCAGTGCTTATCTCCATCCCAAACCCTTCTCTACCCAATTTTCTTTATCAGTGTTGCCTCCAAATCCTCTCCAGTGATATCTCTCACATCCAGAATTTTTTGTGCAGCATCCAGTATCATATTTACACAGTCTGATTTTTCCTGAAGCGCCGATGCACTGTTGAAGATGAAGGCAATCAGTCAGGAAGCACATTTTATCAACACACAAGAAGTTTCCTCTAGAACTTTTGATATTATCTTCTCCCACTTCCTTAGCATGCTTTACTGCATCTGCAAATTAAATCTTCAACTCTTCTCTTAAAGATGCAGTCAGTGATATTTTTACAGACACGTTTTTTTTTTTTTTATATTGTGGGAAAACAACGAAGAGTAGACGAGTTGTCATGTCGTGTTTTCAAATAGTAATGGAATTGACCAGATCCCTATAGTCTCCAAAAATTAATTAAAAATATTTTGGAGCGGACCAATAAAAATAAACCAATGGGATGCACCCCCTTCACCCTCTTCCTGTTTCTCGCGAGTGCGTGCACCGGAGGTATCAGATTTTCTAAAACCTAATAGGGCTGAACAGAAAATGCCAATTTCTCGTTTGCCACCCATTCTCTCTGTTGTGATAAAGAAAAGAAAATGCTGGATGTTTGGTTTGGTGGAGAGGCAAGGGGAGGGGGAGTGGTTTTGAGTTGGTGCTATGGCTAAGATAACAAAATCGCTTACTGCACCTTTAAAAACAAGACACTTTGACTTCAAGCTGTTTCCGTGGACAGTCCATAGATCCAGCACAATGCTTTCCAGAACAATCTACACAATCCAAACAATTTACACATTCAGGTTCTTTGTTAGTCATCTCACAGTCCTCATTCACACACGTTTCACTCCCACATCTTGCACAACTTTTAGACAGCGGCCACATGTCCATATCCCTGGACTCTGTGGAGGAGGTGAGGGACAGGAGGCCCCTGGACTCTGTGGAGGAGGTGAGGGACAGGAGGCCCCTGGACTCTGTGGAGGAGGTGAGGGACAGGAGGCCCCTGGACTCTGTGGAGGAGGTGAGGGACAGGAGGCCCCTGGACTCTGTGGAGGAGGCGAGGGACAGGAGGCCCCTGGACTCTGTGGAGGAGGTGAGGAACAGGAGGCCCCTGGACTTTGTGGAGGAGGTGAGGGACAGGAGGCCCCTGGACTCTGTGGAGGAGGTGAGGGACAGGAGGCCCCTGGACTCTGTGGAGGAGGTGAGGGACAGGAGGCCCCTGGACTCTGTGGAGGAGGTGAGGGACAGGAGGCCCCTGGACTCTGTGGAGGAGGTGAGGGACAGGAGGCCCCTGGACTCTGTGGAGGAGGTGAGGAACAGGAGGCCCCTGGACTTTGTGGAGGAGGTGAGGGACAGGAGGCCCCTGGACTCTGTGGAGGAGGTGAGGGACAGGAGGCCCCTGGACTCTGTGGAGGAGGTGAGGGACAGGAGGCCCCTGGACTCTGTGGAGGAGGTGAGGGACAGGAGGCCCCTGGACTCTGTGGAGGAGGTGAGGGACAGGAGGCCCCTGGACTCTGTGGAGGAGGTGAGGGACAGGAGGCCCCTGGACTCTGTGGAGGAGGTGAGGGACAGGAGGCCCCTGGACTCTGTGGAGGAGGTGAGGGACAGGAGGCCCCTGGACTCTGTGGAGGAGGTGAGGGACAGGAGGCCCCTGGACTCTGTGGAGGAGGTGAGGGACAGGAGGCCCCTGGACTCTGTGGAGGAGGTGAGGGACAGGAGGCCCCTGGACTCTGTGGAGGAGGTGAGGGACAGGAGGCCCCTGGACTCTGTGGAGGAGGTGAGGGACAGGAGGCCCCTGGACTCTGTGGAGGAGGTGAGGGACAGGAGGCCCCTGGACTCTGTGGAGGAGGTGAGGGACAGGAGGCCCCTGGACTCTGTGGAGGAAGTGAGGGACAGGAGGCCCCTGGACTCTGTGGAGGAGGTGAGGGACAGGAGGCCCCTGGACTCTGTGGAGGAGGTGAGGGACAGGAGGCCCCTGGACTCTGTGGAGGAGGTGAGGAACAGGAGGCCCCTGGACTTTGTGGAGGAGGTGAGGGACAGGAGGCCCCTGGACTCTGTGGAGGAGGTGAGGGACAGGAGGCCCCTGGACTCTGTGGAGGAGGTGAGGGACAGGAGGCCCCTGGACTCTGTGGAGGAGGTGAGGGACAGGAGGCCCCTGGACTCTGTGGAGGAGGTGAGGGACAGGAGGCCCCTGGACTCTGTGGAGGAGGTGAGGGACAGGAGGCCCCTGGACTCTGTGGAGGAGGTGAGGGACAGGAGGCCCCTGGACTCTGTGGAGGAGGTGAGGGACAGGAGGCCCCTGGACTCTGTGGAGGAGGTGAGGGACAGGAGGCCCCTGGACTCTGTGGAGGAGGTGAGGGACAGGAGGCCCCTGGACTCTGTGGAGGAGGTGAGGGACAGGAGGCCCCTGGACTCTGTGGAGGAGGTGAGGGACAGGAGGCCCCTGGACTCTGTGGAGGAGGTGAGGGACAGGAGGCCCCTGGACTCTGTGGAGGAGGTGAGGGACAGGAGGCCCCTGGACTCTGTGGAGGAGGTGAGGGACAGGAGGCCCCTGGACTCTGTGGAGGAAGTGAGGGACAGGAGGCCCCTGGACTCTGTGGAGGAGGTGAGGGACAGGAGGCCCCTGGACTCTGTGGAGGAGGTGAGGGACAGGAGGCCCCTGGACTCTGTGGAGGAGGTGAGGGACAGGAGGGTGCTAGCCAAAGCCACCTCCATCATGAACAACACCTCCCACTGCACAGGACTGTAGAGGAGCTGAGGAGCTCCTTCAGTGGAAGACTGAGACACCCTCAGTGTAGGAAGGAGCAGGGCCTTTATCCCCACCGCTGTCAGACTGTACAATAAGTCACTTTCAATGATCACTGTGTGAAAACCTGCACTACTATTGACACTGTTTCCAATTGACACTTGTCACTTTTGTTGTACATAATTATTGTCACTTTATTGTACATATATCCTGCATGTAACATGTTGCACATTTCCTCCCTTTGCACAATCTGAGTGTTCTATCCATGCCAAATGTGACATGTACATTTCTCCTCTGTGAGATAAATAAAGCACATCTTATCTTATCTTATCCTTGGCAGGAAAAACACCTCAATGCTATACAAATGCAACCCTGACTTGCATTTGTATAGCTCACAGCATTTTCATTTACATTTTAAAGCCTCCCGTAGAATTAGGAGGAGGGAGTTCATGGGGGGACAACTGCCAAGCAAAGCATACGTCAATTTCTGACAATGAATTTGCCTGCAAATTTGCGTGAATAGCTGTTAACCTGAACTTCCACGACAATCTATAGTGACGGAAATCACATTTTCCATGCAGTGCCTTATATTTTTGCTTGTAGCCTCCAATGAGAAACGTGACACAAGTAGCGTCATTACTTTACTTTACTTTAGGCTACTTTGTTGTTCGTGTCACATGAATTTTACACGTTCATTGGACGTCACATATGTTTATGTATTATCATTTGGGACAATAAAACAAACTAAAGTCTAAGCAAAGAAATGTACCTTTGAAAAAATGTGGGAGTGGGTCTTATGTAGATATTTCATTTATTGAGTATCATACATTCTTTTGTCCACATGATGTCGTTAGGGCAAATTAATCACCTAAAAGCTTCTAACCATGTTAAGGCTGCGATGCCTCTTCTTGGGGCTTCATATTGCCATCTCTTGTTTTCTTCTTTGTCAAACGTAAAAAGGGCCCACAGATCTCTTCTTTTTTCCCAGCTGTGGGCATGTTCATGTTCTATTCATCACCACTGGATACTTTACAAGCTTATGAGAGTGGTGTTGTGGTTAGCATTAGCAATAGTTTCTGTTCATAGTTGACACCACCGGTGCTTACTAAGGCAAACCCTCATTGGTCCTCCTCGCCTCTAGTCCGGCCAGTCGATACCCCAGTGTGAACAAAGACAGTACACATCAGAGCTCTCACCCTCTCTCTCTCTGTGTGTGTTTGCAGGCCTTTGTCGCCCTCTCTCTGCTGCTCTGGTTACTACAGTGCACCTCACAGCTGGTGATCATCAAGAGTAAAATGTCCTAATTCTACAGAATCTCTGAAGCTGAAGTCAAACTGAACCACAGACTACTTCAATAGGATCAATACTTTTATCTGTGAATGTGATTCATGTGGTAAATTTTATTACAGAATTAATAATAATGTGATTCATGTGATATATATTATGACAAACCTAATAAATAATACTGTGATTAATGTGATAGATTTTATTACAGACTTAATAATAATGTGATTCTGCATAAAAAAGGATTTCTTTTCACTGTGATATGTGTATAAAATTTACACAGAGCATGTGTCGCCTTCCTTCAGAGATAATGTTGATGTCATATTTTCACACAGAATAGAAGGAGGATTTATTTTTGAAGATAAGAAAATAATAAGCTAATAACCTACATTGGAAAAGTACACTGTGAAACACTACATCGGAAAAACGTCTGTGAAAATCTACACTGAATAACAACACTGTGAAAACATACATGTACAGTATCATTTGTATTGTGATGTATTACAACTGTGTATGTTATTGTGTTATCGGATAATGCATGTAACAATATTCTTGATGAAAAGTTATATTTAACTGTGATATTTCCTTGCAGACTACAATCTGTCGATAAAAAAAGGCATCAGCAAAGGCTAAGCTGTCAAAGTTCAGGGAGAAAATTTACAGCAATCCAGAACTACAGTGGGGCAAAAAAGTATTTAGTCAGCCACCGATTGTGCAAGTTCTCCCACTTAAAATAATGACAAAGGTCATAGGTTCACTTCCACTGTGAGAGACAGAATGTGAAAAAAAAAAATCCAGGAATTCACATTGTAGGATTTTTAAAGAATTTATTTGTAAATTATGGTGGAAAATAAGTATTTGGTCAATAACATAAATTCAACTCAAAACTTTTGAATATAACCTTTGTTGGCAATAACAGAGGTTGTTCATTAATGCATTCATTCTATTATTGACCTTCAATATAATTATCTTTTTTTAGGTATCGCCAACGTAAGGAGAATGGTAAAATTAAGACAGTTCAGAATCTCACCAAAAGACAGCATGAGAAAAAGAAAGCTCAGTGGAGGAAATTTTTTGCAAAATACCATCAAAGTAAAAAGCAAGTGGAAGCTCCACTCAACTTGACTCCAGAATCCTCACCAAGTGAGCCAGAAGAAATAAACCATGAAGAAGTCCAGACCAATTCTGAAACTTTTATTGAGTCAGCACAAGCAGAGGACAGGTTGGACCCGACAGGCCCAGTACAGTTTCAACCCCTAAAACAACACCTGTAAGACAGCAGACATCAAAAGTTGCAACAACGTTGAGAGCAAATCTGAGGTATGTAGAAGAACAGCTGAAGGAAAAGACCAAAGAAATACATAATCTCAATTGAAAAATGAAAAGACTCCAGGGTCAAAGGGGTACAAGGGTGAACAGGCAGCCAGTAACTGCTTCAAAAACCAAGAAAAAACAGGTTGAGGAAAACAAAATGGGACTTCCAAACAACAGCAAGAGAAGACTCTTGTCAAAAACTGTAAGCTCTTTCCTCCATCGTGATGATGTTTCCAGAGTGGTCAATGGTAAGTCTGGAGAGATACGGCGAAGAGGGGTAATTTACCGAAAACAAGCCTTGACAGATACAATGGCAAATCTCCATCAGAAGTTCTGCTGTGAAACCCCTCTTCAAACTGTCTCCAAAGCTCAATTCTTCAGGCTTAGGCCATTCTGGATCATCAGACCCAAAGTCACAAAAAGAGATACATGTTCTTGTAAACTTCCTCAGCTTGGGATCATTGAAATGTTCAGCACAGTAGATGTTGTGCAGTCTAGTGTGTGACATTAACAACATTGCCTGCCTGTATGACAGATGCCAATACTGCAAAGACAAGGTTTTTCCAACAACACTGGATCACATTGACTAAAGGATTCTGTTCAGAATACTATGGAAGAACTGCTGAAAGCTTTAAAATCTCTCCCACAAAATATGAGTCTGGGTCCAGATGGATTTGGAGAAGAGTTCTGTCAAAGCTTCTGCGAAAACTTGGCTCCAATCTTGCTTAGAATGATTATTGATTCATTATCAAAAAATAAACTCCCTGAATGACTATATGAAGCTCTTATTTGTGTGATACCAAAAAAGGAAAGGATCCTATTGGACCCGGCCAACTACAGGCCTATATCTCTGCTCAATGTAGACCATAAAATCCTAACCAAAACTTCAGCCACAAGAGTAAACAAGCAAATTTCCACAATTATACATCCGGACCAGTCTGGCTTAATTCCAAATAGACCATCTTTTGGCAATGACGACTGCTAAACCTATTGTACTCAGACTGCAAGGACAAAAATAACGCAGCCATTTTGACATTAGATGCTCACAAAGCTTTCGATTCCATTGAGTGGGACTTCCTGTTTCATGTTCTAAAAGAATTTGGATTTGGAGACATTTTTATAAAATGGATACGAATGATCTACTCTAGCCCAAAATCATACATCATTACAAATAATGACATTTCTAAATCATTTTCCTTGCATCAGGGAGACAAACAAGGAGATTACCTTCCCCCCTTACTATTAAACATTGCAACCACTCGCTATAGGCATTAGAACTCACCTCGATAGAAGGACTCCCGCTAGGGGCGTCTGACAACCCCATATCACTCTACGCGGATGATGTGCTCCACACATTAGGGAATCCAGAACAAGGACTTTATTAACATATGTAGATTTATTCTCTAAGATTTCAGGGTATAGAGTGAACTGGTCTAAGAGCGAACTAATGCTCATAGGGGACCACAGAAAAATTGCTCAATGTCCAATTAAAGTTGTAGATTATTACATTACTTATTTAGGGAGAAACATTTCTAAATAATATGATTATCTACTAAAACTGAACTTCCATGAAGGTCTAGAAAAGATTTTTAAAAAAAATGCAAAAGTAAAGTGAATGCTGTTAAAACAGTGTCACTTCCCAAATGTATTTATCACTTTCAAAATCTGACAATTATGATCCCAAACGAGTTCTTCAAAAAACTGGATTCTGTTATTTTAGACTTTGTTTGAGGATACAAAAAACACAGGTTATCTAAAAAAAAAAAATCTATACAAAAAGACAAAGGAGGGTGGACTGGGTCTTACGATATTCAAGAATTACTACTGGGCAGCAAACATGAAGATGGAAAATGGGAATCCCAAACAATGAAACGCTTAAGTCTGCCCCCAAGTGGATACAAATGGAGCTGCTTTCTCTTAAGAAACATTATACATCACTAAAATCTCTGCTATTCACTGATCCAGTTACCACAATCATGTCATTAAGCCACAGTTGTATCATCCTTGTGTCATAATAATGCTTTTATTCCATCGACAATTGACAAAAAAAATTCCAAAAGGCACTCCAAGGGGATTAAGTGTATACAGGATATCCACTTGGAGGGCAAACTTGCTTCCTTTAATGATTTGAGAGCAAAGTATAATTTACCCCAATCTAGTTTCTTTCGATATATGCAGTTAAGACATTTCATAAGGGAAAACCTGTCATCTATGGAATCATTGAAGGTAAGCTTTCCGTTGCTAGAAACTTTGAATCTTCCATCTACAAGCAAGAAATTAATCTAAAAATTTTCCAACTGTTTTCTACCAATTACATCAACAGAGGGCATTAAAAAAGCGTGGGAGAGAGAATGTAATTCTACAATAGCAAAACAACAATGGGAAAAATCTCTCTCTCTACTCCATAAATGCTCAATTAACAGCAGTCACAGATCAATGCAATATAAAGTGATTCATCGGTTCTACTACTGCAAGGCTTCCCTGCATACATTTTACCCGGACGTGTAACATAACTGAAGGGTCACAGATCTAATATTGCAAATGGCAAATAAATGAATCTGAATCTGAATCTGAGACATGGCCATCTTCGGACATTCCTCAGAGGTAGACAAGCTCCCCAAACACCTACGGAGTGCGCTGCAACTGGGAACAATCGTAGCAAAAGGACTCATTCTTAGTGGAAAAGTCCAGGAGCACCATCCTTCAGAAACTGGCTGAATGAGCTGGTGAACATCATTCACATGGAAAAACACAGATTTAAATATGCGGGGAACATACACAAATGGGAGCACTGCTGAAATCCGCTCTTGAATTACAAAAAGTCATAGGACGGTACTTTTGGACTTTAAATTCTGAGTGAGACCCTCCCGGGAGCTATGAACTGAAATAGATTTGGAACGTGAAAACCGTAATTGAAATGTACAAGTTGGTTTGATGGCTCATGTTGATGTGGGTGCAGAGACATAAACACACATCTACAGATGCCCATGTAATAATGCTATACTATACATGCAAGGACACTCCCGTGCGTGCGTGTGTGCGTGTGCACTTGGTTTCAACTCCTGGTGGGGTCCATAACCTGAGATTCCACTCACGTCATGGTTTTACGTCGTGGGGCCCGAACACCGGACCCCACTGGTGTGTTATGTGTCGGAACGCTGGTGGAATGCAGGATATTAGGAAGGGGCACACTGGGGCAATTTCAGTCCAGCAGGCTGGAGCCAATCATGGAGCAGCACAACAGAGGCTGGAGCCAATCATGGAGCAGCACAACAGAGGCTGGAGCCAATCATGGAGCAGCACAACAGAGGCTGGAGCCAATCATGGAGCAGCACAACAGAGGCTGGAGCCAATCATGGAGCAGCACAACAGAGGCTGGAGCCAATCATGGAGCAGCACAACAGAGGAAATCAGGTGTCAGGCTAGAAAAGGTGCAAGTGTGTGGTTCATCAGGCTGAGAGAAATCATGGAGGAGCACACTGAAGCGCACGCTTACAAACCCCCGGGTATGACTTCAAATTGTTATATAGAATTATTACAATTATTTGTTGTTTGTGCAGCTTAGTCAAGAGTCCCTAATTGATGAAGTCGACTCAGATTCTGACGATTTAACTGTCAAGAAGAAACCTGTAAAAAAGTATGGAAAAAGAAAAATCATAAACACTTTGGTTCGACCTGGAAAGTGACGAACCAAAGGAAAATAAGA